ATGACATGTACCAAATATGGGTGAAATCGGTTCACAACCACGCCTGAAATCTCGATTATCACTTTATGATGCGAGAGTATAAAATGTTCGGTGACACCCGAACTTAGCCCTTCCTTACTTGTTTTTTAATTGTTTTTACTTTGTATTTGTTTATGTTACATTTTTTTTATGTTTTTCGCTGGATATCTCATGCATACAATTTTGTAGAGCAGAAAAATAGAAAACTATTAGGTGGAGAATCTTTCTGTTACAATCAAGCGTCCTTAAAATATTAGTTTGTTGGCCGACCCTATTACATACATACATACATATGTATATAAATTGGTACTGAATTTAATATAGATTTCTAATATACCAATATTCCTGTATATGAAAGATATTTCTCAATGTATACTCTAGATTGATATATAAGTTAACAAGTTAGAAAGTACTAAGTTCGGGTGTAACCGAACATTTTATACTCTTGCAACTTGCAGGAATCAAAGCCAGGGTAATACCTTATGATGTAAAACATCAACCAGAGGATCAGAATCTTAGCTATTTTATATATACATATACCATATATAACTTACACTCTGACCTAAATATATAATATATGTATATGTTTGTTAGAAAAATGGAAATCATGGTCATATCGGCGCTAGGTGAAGTTTTCGCCCAATTGTATTCAATTTAGGCAAAATAATATACTGTTGTACATAAAATAAGCTCTGAACTTTATGTTGAGATAACTTAAATATTGGCCGATATATCCAGCATACAGTAGCAGTTCGAAAATCTTTATATTGTGTACATATATAGGAGCTCAGAGAAGTATTAACCCGATTCCACCCATTTTGGATACACAGAACTACTATTGCAGAAAAAGGATTCTGTCAGAATTTCTATTGAATATCTCACACATTTTGATATTTTCGATCAAAAGTCAAATATAGGTACTGGGGTCCAGGTATTCGGTACCTAGGGTCTTGAACAGTTTTGGATGGATTGTCATAACGGGACATACACTAAAGGCTTTATTCGTACAAAGTTTAATCCCATTATATTAATTGCTTCTTGATTTGTGTACTGAAAACTGAGCGAATCAAGTTGAATTTATTATTATTATTGTCTGATTTCAATCGTTTTCACAGAATGAAATAGAAATATGAAAAGAATTCAACGTTCCGCATTTTTCAAAATCGGTCAGTCGGGACCCGAGATATGGAATTTCACCAAAAAATGGGGGTTGCCATGACCATCATCCAATTTTTACAACGGGAGTGATTTGGGTTTTCATCGGATATCATACGTTTTTACACTGTCCGTAAAAGATTTTATAAGATTCATACTCAGCAAATTTATTGTAGTCGCTTAAGTGGTTTAAGAGATATGTACATTAAACATATTAGGGGTGGAGCCACGCCCCCTTTTAAAAAATTTTTTATCCACACATGCCTCTTGATACTACGATCTCATGCGCCAAATTGTAGTTTTATATCTTAATTTAGTCCTTAGTTATGGCAGTGGTCGAACTCGAACTCTTTTTGTACTAAGGAATCTGTATATCAGGTTTCATCAAGATATGTTTACTCAAGTTACAGCTTGCACTGACAGACTGACAGTCAATCGGATTTCAACTTTTCTCGTCATTATGATCATTTATAGTATATTTATATATAACCCTTTATCTATCTCGCTTAGTTTTGGGTGAAACGTACAACCGTTGGGTGAACAAAACTGTAATACTCTGTAGCAACTGGCTGCAAGGGTATAAAACACAGTAGTTATATAACATAAAAAATGCAATTAAAGAGGTGAATATAATTTCGAATGTCAATTTTAAATATGATAGTTTTGCTTGATTGAAATGTATTATTTTAATCTCGTATATTAAAAAAATTACACCTCTTTCTTTATTTTAACTTTTACACAAATGTATAATTAACGTATGTTTATTTTAAATACCTTTAAAGAAATAGGATGATTATAAATTTCAATTAATTTATAATTAAAATACGAACAAACGAAAAAGGTTATCTACATATATGGTGACCGCTATCTCCACTGAGCACATTGTGTCAGCAAGCCATAGTTTTGCTCACGGAATTGCTGACAATTACTAATTAATATTGCTGATATAATTCTTATAATATATAGTACAGACATTAATATTCATTCCATTTTTACGTGTTGATGCTCCGGAAAGCTATAAGCTAAAGCTATATTATTAAGTGAATCATCAATGATTAAATATAAAAACTTATTACTAAATTGCCATCAAAATAGTACTAGCTCGGATTTATAATCCCTACTATATTTTCAGAGCAGTCTGGTGTATATGCATATACAAATAGGGTTTTTATAAGAGACCAGCTCTGCGTAACTGTATGAAAATTCCTTATTTATTATTTGTTGTAATAAATAAGTGTACATATACGTATAAAAGAATATATATGTGAGTTAAAGGTATATAATATAAGGAAGTTGGAAATGTATTATTTATTCACTGACGTCATTCAATGAGAAAATATAGTACACACTCACAAAAAAAAATTATTTTTTATATATGAAAGTACTTAATATAGTTTTACTTTAAGATGTCAGTAAACATATGTATATAAAATGCCTATTTAAATGATTGCTTTTCCTTTAATTCGGCATAGTGATTGTAAAAGCCAAATTACGTACGTAAGATAGAGATGAAATGATATGTACATATGTGAAAGTAAAAATGTGGTGCCGTAATTCTATTGGTGTAGTAGTGATTGCAATGATAGGGCATAAGCCATATTATTTTCTTTTGGGGAGGTTATCACTACATCCATAATGAGTTTGGATTGGCTGTTGCGCAGCCTATCATATTTATTCAGTCCTTATAACTTATCAAACGCTTAGAGAGAGCAAGAATAGTCCACCTACAGGGGAAATAAATGTGTTGGACTAAAGACTCAAAAACTGTAAGTAAAAAAAAAACAGCATTTTTTCATCCAACCAAAACTCAGAGTTCATCTTTAATGGAAAAACTTATTCGAGGGCTATCCAGAAGCCATCTGAGAAGTACTCGTCAGTGTTGTTCAGACCTCTTGTTTCATTTGACGGATTCGTGTCGAGTGGATATTCATAATAAATTCACTGATGTGGGTTCTTCTTCTATGTGCCTAATACAATTGTTCTATACGAGTTTTTTCTGTAATGTTTTTACTATTATCGACCAATTCACGTCTTTAATTATGATAGTGATTTTATAAGAATATTTTTAATAGGTGGAAATACTATTTAACTACTACAAATAGAGTGTATTGTTTTATCAAATAAATTAAACTTTGATTAATAGATATGTATATGGTATCCGATTACTGTTTTCGGGAGCAAATTTGATATTTAAGAGTATGAATATTATTTTACTAAATAACATCTGATATGAGATAGTGCAAGTGTATACAATTTGGGCTTTAATTTTATGATATTTAATTAAAAATTATTGTGTGAAGGAATTGCATTTAATAATGGACATTCTGGAATCTGAGACAGCAGGTAATTTATTTAATAAATTTAAGCAACGTATTTCAGAAAATGTACAGTTTTAATTTACTCTTTAGTTTACACATTAACATTAAACGTTGTAAGGGTTTCTCAGGATCTAGATTAAACTATCTTTAAAAAAAATTAGTTTTCATCGATGATTAAGATTTTCAACTAATTTAACTAATACGAAAAATTTCAAAAATTAGCTTTAGCTACAATAAAGCTTAAATATGGTATGAGTTTCTGGTTCGGCGCTGTTCTGAACTTTTTCCTGATACCTTAATCAATGCTTGAGAAGTAAATTTTTCTATCAGTGCTATTAAAACCGTTTTTTTCTATAGAAATATATACTACATAAGTAGTTATTAGTTCCTACTTATAAAAATAATTACGCTAAGAATGAAACGAATTTCATACTCTTAAAGAAGTACAAGATATTAGTTCGGTTTTCTCATCAGAAAAGGGTACTTTTTCTTTAAACTCTTTTATAACAAATGCTTAAAACAATTTTAAGCGAAGCCACAACAACTGCGGTCTTCTATATGTCAAAAGATGCTAAGTCTACAACGAATTTATTAATTTTAAATGATATGAACAATAACATACCATAGTAAACCAATTTCCCTTGTCAATATTTAATTTTTATTATCCATTGGTATCGTCTCAAACATAGTTATATATAAATTTATAAGCCCTCTCTAAATTTCAAACAATATATGACATTCAGAGTTGGAAGCTTTATCACTTTCTTAATGCAATATCTTAACCTGTAGAACGTAAGTATAGTCTTCATTGATTTCAAATTTTGGGAATGAAAAAACTCGGTAATTGGGCGATAATTTACGCCCAAAATGAACGTCAGATTGGAATTAAATAGAAAACACAGTTTTTGGTCTTTCAATTATATTTTTATTGAATTATAAAGTAAATAGAATAGGATTATTTATGGAGTAACCACATCTCTTTATATACATACGCACTCGGTAGATGCAAACTTACATGACAATTCTGCAACCTATAAATAATAATAAGTTATATTMACTGATGTAACCTTCAATCTCTTCCTTTAATACACGCGTGGTGAAAAAATTCATTTTTTCGACGATTATCTTGGTTTGATCAAAGTTGTTGCTAATACGAGAAATGAATTCGAAATCTATGAAAAAACTGCTTTAAATATTTCACAGGTAAAAGAATATAAAACGACAGTTTCTAGAAAAAGAAAGAAAATTATATGCTGATGAATCACTGGATGGAGATGTACAACTGTCAGGTTGAGACCACTTTAGAGTCAACACTTTTAATGTCATTCTTGACAATCTATTGCATATGAAAAGATTCATGAAAAGTTGTCAGTCATTATTGAAATTGGCAATTTGGATAATAATGAGATTCGTTACCGAGCTAAACGTTTACAAAATGTTTATTCTTCAGATCTTGAGTCCTCATTGGAGGACGAATTTGTGCACTTCCATGCTTATTGCACCGGAAACAAGATATAACAAAATTCACCTTCCGATATTCTGAAACTTTTCCGTGCAAACGACCTTTATACAGAGTTTTCGAACGTAAAAATTGCATATCGAATATTTATTACTTTAGCTGTAACAATTTGTAGCGCAGAACGTTTGTTTTCTTATTTGAAAAGAGTTAAAAAATTACTTACGTTCTGCAATGAGTGCAAATAGACTCAATAGCTTAGTTATTCTATGCACTTCAACGTTTAGATTGTGAAGATTTAATCGCAAAATTCAACAAGTCAGGCGTGTTTGCCTATGAAAATAATTATTGTAATACAATTATTAGTCAATCTCAGTGCCAAATTTGTAGTTTTAAGAACAAGAACCTTTTTTTCCAGTGCCCAAGGGCGGCAAAAGTTTAAATCCCGCCCTGGAACTCGCCCTCTTTTCAACTGATGCACAGAAAGAGAAGCTCGCCAATCCTCGAACGTAAGAGGACACCTTTCACAAAATACACACAGTTTTTGTTTTTAGTTACTCAACTAAAATTCAATAATTTTACACTCGGATAAGGGCGTCTTATCCTTTGGAATCTAGCAACCATATTACCATTTTTTTTTTATTAAATGTAGTACCTATTTTTAAATTTCTTCTCTCCGAATTTTCATTTGCCGGTGTTTTGATTTGTTTTTATTACTTTATACACCATATTTTACTATTTGTTGGAGTTATTAAGCATTTTGAAAATAAATAAGAGAACATATTTGGATTTCGATCGTTTGACAAATAAAACGTTTTTTAGTAAATATTTTTAATTTATTTCAAGATGTATACTAAATGTATGTGTATTTCTCTGGTTCAACTTATTGTCCATCAAAACAAGCGGTGCTAATATTTCTTGTGTCGAGAGCTAGCGAAGACCGCAGTTTCTCTAAATTGAAACTTTTCAAAACCTGTCTGTGCTCTGCAATGTCTCAGGAATATTGCTTGTGTTGCAAAACTTTATTTTAAAATTTTTACGAAAAAATTACAAACTCACTGTTTAACTAAATCGTAGTTGGATTAAAATCAAAATTTTATCTTAGGTCAATCGAATCTCTGTCATATTATAATGAATTCGTTTCATGAAATTTATCCCCAAATAACACATAGCTGATATAAATTCAATCGAAGACGCTAAATGTAATGAATTGAAATGATTCGTCAAACGTTAACCAAAGGATCAGATTTCATTACATTTCGGATTCCAGCTTTGGACTAAAGTCTAAACAAGTTCTATTCGTAATAAAATAAACCACATTATTGTTATAAGCTTTTTATTTTATTTCATAAAAATGTTACAGATTTTGAACAACCTGTATGGTTTAAAGTCAGTTAGAAATAGGGTAATTATTATATATGCTATATTGGGAGCAATTGATGAAGATGAAGAAATTTGAATAGAAATTACCCGTCTGAAAAACTATACTGCGGCGGAGGCCGATGGATTACCGGTCAAGCTATGCAAATAGGGCGGCGAAGAATTGAAAGGAGCATGCGTCARCTGTCTTATAGAATATAGTCGGACGAAAGCATGTCCGAAAATATGAATTCAACTGTGCTCTGCCCAATTCACAAAAAGGCAGGCCCCGTAATCTGCGCCAACTGATGGGATAAGCCTTCTCAGCATCCCATATAAGGTTCTATCAAGCAAGGTTCTGTGTGGAAGATTAAAGCCCACCGTCAACAAACTGACCTTGTCAGTCTGGATTTAGGCCTGGAAAATCAACAACTGACCAGATATTCACCATCCCCAAAATCTAAGTAAAGATCCTTGAAAGAGTATCGACACGCACCATCTTTTCGTCGATTTCAAAGCTGCTTTCGATAGCTTGAAAAGGAGCTGCCTTTATGCCCCTATGTCTGAATTTTGTATCTTCTCACGGACGATGACAACATCTCATGACACGACGTTACAAATGTTCGAGAGAGGTTCCGCGGAACATGTATGTTCCTTTGCGCTTTGGTCATGACGAATATCGCATTTGATGGAACGATGAGCTATATGAGATATACGATAACATTGACCAATTCAATTCAACCAATTGAGAGGACGAAAACACTTCATCTCTCAAATTGGCGCCAAGCAGCGAAAAACAAGAGCGACTGATGCGCTATCGTAAACTCGGCTATAACCGCGTAAACAATGTCTACGCCAATAAAGAAAAAGATATTGGGACAAGACCTTTCTCATTTTTGGCTCACGGCAAAATTTATTATCAGATAGAAGAGTCAAAGTTTCTATAATATATCTAAAATATCTACCAATATTTCCGATAAAAAAGTGTGAAATAGGAACTAGAGTCCTTGCATTCGTTGCTCACATTGTATAATTTTTGGTCATAAGCTGGCTTTAAAAGCAGYAACTTTTTGTTCCGATAAATTCATTGGTTTTAGAAAGTGAAAGAACCATATATATTTTTACAATGTGACATAGAACATAGAGTAATGTAATCTACCGAATTTGGCTGAAATCGGACAGGTTCTGAGTTATGGGTTAGGGGTTTGAGTTTTATATCTTAATTAAGTGCAAAATGCCTTCGTAATAATAAAGATTTTTTGGGGGACGCTGTCTCGACAATGACTGAACGATGGAGTGTAGTTGTAAAAAAATAATATCGTTTCGTGAAATAAACTTAAGTTATTAGTTTAAAGCGAGAAAGTTTAAGTGAAATTTATGGAGTAATGTAGCATTAAATTGCTTCAGAATAGGGTGCAGGGTAAAATTAATTGAGAGGCTTGAAGAAAATAAAGACGAGCACTAAAGGTAGCTCAATTTAATATATACAAATAAAATCCCAAGTTTTGATTATACAAAAGTTTTGTAATAGGTAAAATTCCGACAATTTGTAAATATATGCATCTGTATGCATCACAAATGGACGATTTTAAATAAACTTCCGCAAAAAATAAGGGTTGAAGTCAGTGACAAAAATTTCATTATTAGTGTTATTTTTGCTTAATAAGAATCTTGGTATAGTATATGTATGTATATCGGGATAGCAAGGCAGAAACATTTCTTTCATTAATCGATCGGTTTTGKTTTTTTTTTATAAAATCTGTTGACAATCATGATTAGCTATTTGAAATTGAGAAGTGAGTTTTGGTTGCAGCGAATGCATCGATAAGGCCCAACTTCTTGGTTAATAAGGAGTTAATGGGGAAATTCGGCTGTGGCTAGAAAGATCGATTAAAATTGTTCAGGTGTCGAAAAAAGTTCACATCTTAGTTCAATTGTTATAAAAAGAAGTCCTTTGGTTTCAGGTCAAGGCCTTACGGTGGCTCACTCATCAAATCGAAGTTTCAAGGTCTCACAAATGCAGTTGTGTCAGTCCATGTGTTAGAGCTTTTATTATCTCGGTGAAAAGTGATCCATATTCARTGGTTGGTTCTCCTCATTTCTTGAAAGACAACTGCCACAAAAATTGTTATATACCTCTCATAATTTACTATTCTGTGATATTGTAGGAGTTTGGTTCCGATAGGACCAGTTTTTCCGAAAAAAAAGTTCTACACTAATACTTACAGTATTAGTTTACGCAGAGCGTTAATAATTTTAACAACAACAACCTTCATAAAATCCCTCTAGGAGTGACCTACGACCTCGATTTGATTCATCATACCATCGATAAATCCTGGTCTTAGATGGATCTTCATCCCCAAAAATTTAATTAGGTTCATCGATCACTGTTGTTGAGATAATCCACGTCGAAATTTTGAAAAACTAATCGCGTGAAAATATTCGCGATTTAATTCCATTTTTAAGCCGAGATGAATATTTTATGGAAATGTAAGCAACACGACTAGCTCTCTTATGTCAGGCAGTTTTCATCTCTCAGTCTCGAAATATAAAAGTCAACCTTCGATAGCTGTATGGAGTAAGACGGGATTCAAAATTTGTACCGTAAACGTGTTTGATACATCAACGGAATAATAGTTTCAAATTGTTTTTGCAGCAACAATTTATTTCGAATTACATTTTTTACATGTACAAAGGCTATTTCTGTGTCTTCTTTTTTTCTAGGTGACTGTAGATTAGTTTCAACATGCTCTAAGTTCAATGTAAGAATTTCGCATTTATTATAAATTATTTTCCACTTTTCGCGCAGAATTCCTCAAATCCACAAGTAGGCTTTTCATACATCTTACTTCAAGGTCGATGATAGTCGATTAACTCTTGAAGAACGAAGTTGCTTTCTTTGACTGACAAGAGTTTTAAACTATAAACCATCAAAAAGCACTCAATTTTGCTAAAAAATTTGAAAATTAGTTAGATTTTTTTTCAACTTCTTTCAAAGCGTTTATCAATCCGGAAATGTCTTGACGGCAACGATTCTAGCTAACCATCTCGTAGTAAAAAAAACAGAGAATTGAATTGAATTAAACGTTGTGCGCTGCTACTGAAAATGACGAAATACAGTCAATCCTGGATAAGCGAGAGTTCAAAGGAGCACAATCTCATTCTCGCTTATCGAGATTTTTCACTAACCCGATTTTCTCGCTAATGTTACATGGCGTTTCTCTCTTATAGAGGCAATAACAAGTCACAGCAAGTACGAATGCAGTGAATATWTAATATGATAAAATTATTTGCATAATATGCACAACATATTGTATAGTGTAATGTACATATCGTCACTTGAAATGCAAAATAACGTATCATCAAAAAATTCGAAATTGAGTGTCTTATTGATTACGCTTCACTACTTCAAATTACATACATAATATTATATTATATTACATATGTTCAACATTTTCAAATCCTGAGCTCGGATATAAACCACTGTAAATTTCCGAAAATGTTGTTATGTTATTTTGCATTTCGGGTGAATATAAATATTTTTAATAGTGTTATTTATGTTTTATTGTAGCTATAGATTCTCTTAAATGCTATGCATAAACAAATAAAGCTCGACTGTCGCTTATAGTATAGATAAGTAGAAGTCTCGCTTAAGAAGGTCCATGAGGGAAAAACAACTCTCTCTTGCAGAGGTTTCTGTTTCTCGCTAGTAGATGTTTTGGGAGCTCAAAATGACGAGCCCTGGCTATTTCTCACTTATCCTGTTCTCATTTTCCCAGGTTTGACTGTATACATAATTTTGAACGGCACCAAAACAAGTTTTTGATCAGTATTCTGCGTGTCGACTCTTCAAATCTCCAAATTCAGCGTGTGGGCACCACAATGCGAAATTACAGCTCATATTACTACCTACCATTATCATGGCCCTGCCCTCGRCAATCTCCATAATGAAATCCGCAATTCTCTAATGATTTGCAAATTAAAACGGCAATAGCTTCGCCGGGTTTTCCATGATAATCTACAAAAGCGTGAAAACATTTCTTTATAAGTAACCACAATATTTATATTTTATAAACTATTCACTTAATTTTTTGGATTAAAGCTACATAATTCAAACATTTTGATACTGTATCGAAAAGAAAAAATTCGTCTGCAAACACAAAAAAATGTTTTGTAGGAAAAAAAAGTTTGAATGTAAAATTTGAACTGAAACACTCATTTATAAAGTAACCGATATTTGAATTATACTATTAAATTACCATGCAGCCGTTTTCTAATATTGTGAATCGAGTTTGAATTTTTAATTGGATCTTTAAGAGTTTAAATTGTGTGTTTAAAATTTAAAATAAGTTAGATCATAGATTAAAATACAATTGAGAGAAAATATCGCACAAAATAAATGAGCCCAATATTTCTTGAGTCTGTTTAAATTTTTATAGGCGTATATCCTAACATTGCTATGCTATATACATATATAATAAAAAATATATATACAAACTTATCAGAATTATTAGTTTTTCAGAAAATGCCTTTACTACGAAATATATAAAGATTTATGTATATCGCGCATGCAATAATCATTAATGAAGACATTACCAAGTTGATCAGAATTGGATGCAGAATAAACCAAAATAGTTCATATTGACAACGTGCTCAGAGTTATTCATGGCGTCAAGTTGGTTATGAACTCATCTTCAAAGATATTGTCTTCAGGGGAAATAACCCATCAACATGAGCTGGAACAACATTTATTGAAGCACACTATTTCTTCGGGGCTTTCCCCACTCCCCAATTCGGCACCTACAACTACGTTGATCCACCAGCATAATTTTTCTAATATTCATCATATGCAAAGTTTACCAAGTCAACAACCTAGCGTCATATTTAACAGCACGCATTCCACGCCATTTAGCGTAACAGATATTTTAAGTCCAATTGAGGACTCATATCGGAAGCTGGAGTTGAATTGCAGTCCACCGTCACCCTTTAGGTAAATATGACATTAAATAATATACGTTTTACTAAATATATGTACAGCTGAGTTCTAAATAACAATAGTGCTTAAAAGTCACACAGAGTTTGTTTAATTTATACTTGTTTTTTGCAAAAAAACTAGAGCAGCATGAAAATTTGTTGTGCAAAAAAATTATAATTTTTCATATCTAGTTTAAAAAGTAACTTTTTTTTATACTATGGCAATTTAACGGAATTAATGCCAGAGAAATATCTTAATTTGTAATCCTTAATATTGGAATCCAAGTAATTTAATGTACACATATACTATATATATATAACTCTCACATTGACCGACATATTCGGTGTTGTTTTAGAAAAAACGAAGATCATTATATGTAGTATATGGGAGTATCGACCCGATTTTATCTMTTAACTACATAATATGTTATCATGCCACATTCCAAAATAATGTGTCCTGGGTTTCACTAAGGTGCCTCACATACAATTACCAATCATATGAAGTACTTCAGCCGGATGTACGCAAATTGTGATATTTATCCACTAAGATATATTGTTAATAGTATAACGCGCTCTCCTTTTCATTTACAGAACTGAAATATTGGCCAACATCTGCTTTATAAAGTCACCCGGAATTTCGGAAATGTTTATATTATATAGGGTCTCAGGAAAGTATTGACCCGATTAAATCCATATTTGGGATACTGAGTTACTATCGTTATATTCCATACATTGAGTCAACTATAGGCACTAGGGTCAAATATTTATATCAATGAAAATATAAATAAATATAGTTTAAAAAAACTAAAAAACACGCTTTTAAAGCATATCAAACTAAAAAGTGAAAAATAATTCTTTGTATAAACTAACAATAATAATGAAGGAA